AAATAATTCTGTGCAATAGGTTGTGAGAAGTGGTGAGCTTTACTTCTGGGATAAAACTTTTAGCTCTGGGAGTGTCTCTTTTCTTCCCATGTCGCAATAAACTAGGTGACCTCATGTTCCAGATAAAAATACAAGGCTGGGTGGTAATCAGCCTGAGTCTTGATTGTGTGGGACAGAGCCCCCAGGACATGCATGACATGGGTAGAGAAAATGCAAAATAAATATTTGTTCTCTCTGAATAGATGGTCACCTCCCAGTTCTTTTTGTTCATTAGCATTGTCATACTTGAAAATGTCAACCGCCCCGCTCCTTCGGTTCCGAGAGCCTAGTACAGCCGACCCTTCCATTCTGCAACCCAACCCCCTGGGCGCCTCCAGGCTGTGCCCCTCGTGACATTGACAACCTAGGATCTCAGCGCGTCTGCTCCTCCGGGGCTGGAGCGTTAGAAGGGCGATCCTCCCGATTCCAGAACCTCAGCACCTGGGCCCTTCCCGCCCCGGAACCAAAGCTCCACCGGCCCTTCTTGTCTTCAAGTGTTGGCTCCGTTGGCCCTTTGAATTCTAGAACCCGGTTGGCTCCCGGGGCTTTAGCACCGTTGGCTCTTCCAACCTTAGAACGTTGGACTGACGAGGCTTCGAACCTGGAGTCTTAGTGTCAGTGAGCCTCGGAACCCTTCCCCGCAGCCGCCTCCCCTCTTTGATCCGAGAATCGCCAGCCTGTTGAGCCCTCAGTCTGAGGGCTGCGGCGCTGTTGGCCCCCTGAGTTCTGTAACTTTAGCATTTAGAGCAGCGGTTCTCAACCTTCCTGATGCCGCGACCCTTTCATACAGTTCCTCATGTGGTGGTGACCCCCAACCATAAAATTATTTTCGTTGCTACTTCCTAACTGTAATGTTGCTGCTGTTATGAGTCGTCATGTGAATATCTGATAGGCAGGCTGTATTTTCATTGTTACAAAGTGAACATAATGAAAGCATAGTGATTGATCACAAAAACAACATGTAATTATATATGTGTTTTCCGTTGGTCTTAGGCGACCCCTGTGAAAGGGTCACGACCCACAGGGTGAGAAACGCTGATCTAGAATGTAGCACCGTGGGCCCTCCTGGTCCTAGAACCGTATACCTATCAAGCACAAGGCCGTATACCTAAGGCACATAGCACCATTGGCCCTCCTGGTCCTAGAATCGTGTCCTATCAAGCACAAGGCCGTATACCTAAGGCACAGCCGTTCTGGCGGCTGGGGGGTGGAATACGGCCGTTAGCCGTGCCTGGGTCACCTCCCCACTCCCGGAAAAAGGGAGTTGGCCACAGCAAGCCACAGGCGAGCGTGAAGGGCTGGGTGCGTCCTCCAACAAAATCAGGGTGCCGCCCCTAGAAGAATGGGAGGCAAGAGCTGCTAATGTGGACCCCTGGGCCCCCTTGGGAGTGTGTGCTAATGACACTCTCGCACCATCCATGAGAAGGGGTGGCGAGCAGTGGGCGGAGGGGTGGGATTGCACAGGCCTGAAGCGAGGGCTGGACTGGAGAGGCCGTGCAGGACTAGGAGCAGGGACAAGGGAGCTTCGGTCTGGTGAAGTGACCATCATCCATCATGAGACCCTGCGTGCCAGGTAGTCAAGCTTGGACTTGACTCTTGCCCAGACACCATCCATCAGGGAGCTGACTCAGAGAGCTGGGCCCAGAGGAGCCACGTAGCAGAGACTTCCTCTGAGGGATGAGCAAAGCTGGCCCCAACCGAGGAAGGGAGGGCCCAGGGCTACACACTGGGTGTGAAAGGATGGGGAGGGGACAGGGTTAGCTGCTCTGCCACCCTCTCACAAACCCCCCGTCTCTTTCTCCCCTTCCTCAGAGAAGTCTTGGGGCTGGTGGACTTGGTCGCCCTGGAGAACGGGGAGCTGGGGCCCCTCCTGTCGCCTGGCACCGTTCGGGGCTTGGAGGATGAATGTGTCACAGATGTTAAGGTATGGGGGGATTCAGGAGGGAGGGGGGCACTCTGCCGGGAGAGAGGGCTTGCACTGGGCCTGGGGCCTCTCCTCTCCCCCTTTTGGTATTTCCATCTCCCTTTTCCCTTTGCGGACTCTGAGCTCTGTCCAAAGGACATGGACATGCACATCCACACGGATCCTGGCCGTCCTAGGTTCAGTGTTGTAGTCTAGGCACCCAGCTGGGCCTAGGCACACCCAGTGACGATTCAATACGTTCAGACATGCAAATCTCAGAGCGAGAGGAAGTCAGACACCGAACCTCCCCTCACGGAGCCAAAGACTCACAAAAGGAGGCGCCAGGGTGCCTCTGCGTCCGTCTGTCCGTCCGTCCGTCCGTCCCGGCAGGACGGATAGGAACCTGGTTTATAAGCAGCTGGGCCGGACCCCACGGAGCAGGTGGCCTCGGGGGGTTTCCTACCTGAATGTAGGTCCTGCCTCGGCCACAAAAATCAGTCTTTGCCACTGGAGAGGGGAGACCCGTAGGCTTGAACATGTCTAGATTGTCAGAGTCCCTGAGTTGAAGGTCAACGTTGGACCAGAGAATCAGAGATGGGTCAACCTTAGAATCACAGAGCCTGGGAATTTTTGAATTCCAGAATCTGACAATCTTGAGTGAATTTTTTTTTGTCAAACCTGAGAGCAGAGCCTTCTGGCCATGAAATAGTGAGAGTTGACCCTTAAACCCTCCGGCTCAGCGGTCGCCAAGCTTTCGGACCTCAGGGACCACCAGTGGCCCGCGGACCCGGCTGGCGACCGCTGCTCCGGGAAGTGAGTAGATAGAGGAAGCTTAAAACCAGCTCTTAGCAGCAAGCTCCACGGCGTGGGCTGAGCAGTAGGAAGGGCTGGAGGTTTTCTGGTCCAGCTTCCTCCCGCGTAACTTTGAGGAGCTCCCTGGTGGAATCCAGACCTGCTTGGGGCCAAGGTACGGGGATCATGGAGGGAGGGGCTCCCAGGCACCCCTGACTCTGCCTCCCCCACCTCCCCACGAAGGCCCAGACGCGGGCAGCCCTGCTCCGGGCGCTGCAGGAGGACGAGGAGCACTGGGGGAGCCCGGAGGACCTGCCAAGCACCCTGGCCCAG